TTCAGATGTAGAAACATTGTCCACAGAGGCTGCGCCAGTTCCTCTTGATAACCACCAACGAGGGAAGGAATTCTGATACTCCTAATCGTAGAGGACAGGTGCTCAGCTTCTCGCTGCTAAGCATCACAGGCCCTTCTCCCCTATTTTCTGGTCTTAAAGAATGGCAGCACTGTTTCTTACAGCAACGTGTTACTGCTACACCTTTACTTACTCATTCTTCACCTTGCACAGCTCCCAGCCTCTGAACTCATCTGTCCCAGGCTCCTTGCTCCCAATGAGTCTTGTGTGTCTGCCTTGGGTGATGCTCTGTGAACTACACCACGGAAGTGACTGGCAGCCCTGTTTTGGGGGCAGCTGCTGGGGGCATACTCAGTCATGGCACTCTCTTTGAAGCTCCTGGATACACTGTCACCATGCTGCTGGTATTTGTCCTGGTTGAAGGGAAAGTTCAGATACAGGTTCCATAGGAATCTTTATCATGGCATCCCATCCCTACTTTCAGAATATAGCTTTTTCTTTTCTGTCACTGTTTTTTTATTCCCAAAGATTTATTTATTTATGCATAAGGAACTGGGTATAAGCCAAAGGTGCAGGGGTGGTGAGAGGATTCACCAGAGACAGAGTGGGGAGCAGAACAGGCTGATCTATGAAGTACACTGCTGAGGGGAGCAGCGGGCTGGTCAGAAGAGATCTGCCGCCATGTGGTCACCTCCACGGTGGGGATCAAACCTGTGCTAAAGCAGCTGCAGCCAGCTTGCAGTGCTGCGTCCTTAGCTGTTGCGCCATCAGGGAGGGTCACCTGTCACTGGTTTTTAACATTAACTCTGACGTGAGAATGCAGTTGGATAAAGCAGATGAGCTGTTTCTTCCCCAACCTACCAACCTTCCAAGTACCTAACTTGCCTAAGAGACAAATGTCCTTCCCTCCCCCAGTGATTAAAGAAATGAGTCTGTAAGTATCCTGAACAAAGCATGACTACACTGCCCAGCTACATCAGGTCAGAACCTGTCTAGTGATATAGCAATCTCTCTTGGTGTCCACACCAGCAATGGTCAGGTGAATGTGAGAGCCTATGGTCCTGCCACCCCTGCCCCTATATCTGAGGCAGTTGCATTCCTGGCCTTCAGGCCGTAGGGTCATCATGCTCTTCTCTAGGAGGTTCTAGATCTTGGTGATGAACACATAGAAAGAGCCGTCAGTTAATGGTGTTCTCATAAAGGAAGCTAGGTCTACATTACTCATAGGTTATGTTACCCCAAATGAGTCAGTTCCTTAGTCATTTACTTGTTTTAAAAGACTGTACCTTGTTTTCATATTTCTATAGCTGCTAAAGTTTTAGCTAGTTGTTGTTGTTCTTTTTTTTTTTTTTTTAAAGATTTATTTATGTAGGCATACAAGAACTGGGGTACATGCCAGAGGTGTGGGGGGTGAGAGACTTCACCAGAGACAGAGTGAGGAGCAGAATAGGCAGATTTATTGAAATACACTGCTGAGGGGAACAGTGGATGAGACAGGAGAGGTCTGCTATGCCATGTGGGTCAGCTTCCTGGCCGCCATGTGGGTCAGTTCCCTGGCTGGGGGTCAAACCTGAGTTGCAGTGGCTGCAGACAGTCTCAGTGCTGTATTTTAACTTGTGCCACTAGGGAGGTCTCCAGTTTTAGCTAGTTCTTAATCTAACATTCATTACTCTAACTTTGTGAAGATAATACCAGACCTCTCCTGCCCATCCCAAACCTTCTGAACTGCTTACACCAGGCTTTCTTATACCTTGATGCTTCTGCATACCCTATGTCTTCTGCTTGTCTGATTGGCAAACTCCCTGAAACCCTTCAATGGAGGGCAGTCCCCCTGGGCACCAGTGACTATCTGTGTGGAGCTCAGGATTCCCACCAGTGTGCACTCTGTGCCTCAATTTCCACCCTATCACATTATTAAGGTCTCTCCTACTGGCCTGTGAATTTCTTAATATCAATGGTCAGCATCAGGAATTATTTAATTAACTGTGTAGCCTCAATGCTAATAGCGCCAAACATGTGTCGGGAGCTTATTGTTCATTGCTTAATTGAATAAAAGAATGAGGTCCTCATATTGGCTAGATTGCCAGACTGAAACCTAGCCCACTACATCTGATGATTCATCCTATCCCCTATGCCAAGCACCTGTTAAATTCTTTGTAAATGTTTCTGGGATAAAGGGATTAAATGAATGAATGTGCTTGGAAGCCAGCACTTTTCTTGTTCATTTCCAATTTTCGCTGTGACCTTCCACCAGGTTCTATCCTGAGATCCCCAAAGTTTCTTTGACTCTAACCCTGCCACATCCTGCTACCTGCTTGTTGTTTGGATCTGGAGTTCATAAACATAGAGAACAGATGGAATTTTTACAAAGGGCTAGAACCACAGTGACTCTTACTAATGAGTGGAGCACCGCAGGAGATTAGTAGTTAACTTTGACATGACTCTGGTCAGGTTATGAATTGCAAAGATTAAACATGGTAGTATTTGTGAAAGCATTTTATACAGAGATAAATGTACAGTGTAATTAATAGTGCTACATTAAAATAATAAAGTCGAGGGTAGTAACTCCTAGAATTTACTCAGTTCAGCCTCTTCAAAAGCTCAGGGAATGCATTTGCATATGTATTTTTCTAGTTGAGGCCTCATTATTTAACAGAATGTGAGAATCCAAGAAATTATAGATGTTAATTTCTGCGTCAATCTAAAAATATAATTTTGAAGGATGCAATATTTAAAATAATAAAAATTAGGTTAGATGCAAATTTTCTTAAAGAAATAAAAAGTAAATAAAAATGAAATTAGAATTGTCATATCATAAAACAATATACTAGGCAAAATGTCCTAGATATTATCTTTTTCCTTCTTTGATGAAAATGAGTCTTTCTCCTTTGTAAAGAAAAAAAGCTACTACTCCTTTTTCTTAAGCTTAATTAAGTTTAATATTAACTTAAAGTTGCTATTACTATCTGGATACTGATTTGGATTTTATACAAACTATACTTCCAGTAGTTAGCTTTTTTTCCCCTTTGAAGAAGCAATAGCCTATTTAGCTTCTATTGAAGTATTGTAAGAACAGAACAGTTTAAGTGGAAATGGTGTCAGGTTATATTAAAATTGACTTTTTTTGCTTCAAATTTTTATTTCAGCATTAATTATGTTGAGTTATGATAAATAAAAGAAAATGGTGTGAAATAATTGTTTTGAAAGGGAAGAAAGAACAGGCGTGTGATAAAGAGTGTAATTGGATTGGGAGGCAGGAAATGGATATAACTTCATCTCTGCTACTTAGGACCCCACCCCTTACTTTTAGTTCATTCTGAACACTAAATATGTTTCCTCCTATGAGCTTTATCTCTCTGCTAACTAGCAAAAGGAATATTTCTTGCTGGGGCCAGATCAGGTCATCATTCTTCTAAAGGCATATTGGATCGATTATTTCGTTGTAGTCCTACTTTATTAAGAGACTGAGCCAAGAATTTTTTTTGAAGGACATATTAGTAGGCAACATTCTACTCTTTGCATCTGTTACTTCTTCAAATGTCCCCTTATCCTCCCCCCCCCCCCGTAGGAACCCTGGGGACTGACAGGTTCACACTGCATCTTTGAAACAGCTCATCATTTTTGAGCATTTGTATAAAATTTAGGATGATCTGTCTGGTATGTGGCTTCCACAATTTTTTGCGAACAGTAGGGGCGATGGGGTTCGGCAGGAGGTGGTCCTCTTCGATTTGAGTCTGCGCTAGTCCAGGCCGGCACACGTGGTGAAGGTAAGGAGCCCAGATACACCTAAGCAGGGTACCTTAGAATCAAGTACCTCAGAAAACTTCAGAAATCCTGCACGTCTGGGCAAGGAAGCACACCCCAGAGCTTCCCCTCAACCCTACCCCCCCCTTCTCTCACAGCTAAAGTGACAAAATCTGTGACCTCTGGAGAAAGGCATATACGATGTGCCACACTGGACGGAGACGCCTGTGAGATGGGCAAGCAGTTTTTCAGTCTGCAAGGGAAAGAGGGAGTGGTCGACAATTAGAAAGACGGCGAAATTCTCCACGTGTCATAGAAGGTAAGTAAAGAGACCTCATTACGAATGAGGAATTAAAGGTGTCCTTCTCCCCTGCAGAGAGCTGAAAAGAAGGTGTGTCTCTCTCTCCCCAGAGCTTGCAGGGGAGAGGCTCCGAGTTGTAAGGAAATGGGAGGTGTCTCTGATGTTTATTTTTGCCTAGCAACCTACAGCCAACTGCTTCCCCAGCAGCAGTCCACGCGCGCCTCTCTGCCTCCCCTTGTCCTAGCGACTGGAGAGCGGTCACTTGGTGTCAGTAAATCGGGGAGGGTGTGTGTGGCGGAGGGGTGCTGGGAGGGCAGCCCCTTCCTTCGCCCAGGCTGCGCTGCGGGGGGGGGAGGGTGTCACCAGGCAAAAGCTGCGGTCCTCCACCGGGCTTAACGAGGTGACCCTCGCACAACTAAGTATTTACATGAAAAATTGGGGAGATTGGGTGGTTAAACCGCAGGGACCGGGAAGGGGGGCATTATTGTTTGTGAGCGGCCATTCGGTTTGAAAAGCTGAAAATGCATTTGTGTTTGGGGGCGCGTAAGGGAGGGGAGGGGTCTCTGCAGCGATCTCGATAGGAGCTAAGCAGGGGTAGGTTGCACTGTAGGGAAGAGGAGGGGTGCTGCAGGGGCCGGAGAGGCCGTGGAGAGGAAAAGGTCGTTGGTAGGGGAGCCGAGGGGAGTGGTGCAGTTGGCCGGAGCGCGAGGCGGAGGGCTAGCGGAGGCAGCAGAGTTTTCCCGGGCGCGTAGGGGTGGCTATGCAGATGACGGGGGGCGGGAGGAGGGACTTCA